CCACAACAAGCTAGTAGGAACTGCAAAAAATGTAAATATATAAATATACGTTATAACAAAGCGCAGAGGAAAAGACGACAAAAAATATTGAAAGAGAAATAAAAATGAGAAAAAGCCGGGGAAGAGAGAGAGATGGGGGAGGGACAGTAATCCGGAAAAATTATTCCATAGGGAAGATGGGTAGAATAGATTAAGTAGATAGATCATCATAAAGGTTAAACGAGAGGGCAGCCAAAAAAAGAGGGAAATTGAAGATTCTTGGGTATTATAATATATATATAGATATGTATGGTAAGATAAAAACCGGGGGTATAATTTTGGTGTATGGGTTCATTCGTCCTTTTCGTAGCAATCTTTTTGTGGTTGAAAAGGTAGGATTCTTCGCTCCGTATTTGTCTTCATTCACTCTACTCCAATATCAATAGCCAAACAACCATCCAAACAGCTAATTCAGTAGATAGATATAAGGAAATAAGAACAATAGAGGGGGTAAAAGAAAAGGAACAAGAGAAGGCGAGCAAAGCGAACACGGAAAAAGAAACCAAGAATAATAATAAAGGGACACACTTCCCATCAAAATCAATCAATCGTCATCCGCATCGGCAATGGCCCACCTGGCGGCATATTCGACGACATCTCCATCGTATTTGGCTTTTCATCATCGCTAATGACCTTGCGGTTCGACAAATGACGCTTCAGTCCTTTGTTGAAGTTGCGTGTGCAGATGCACGCGTTCACGATGGTCATGATGATCAGGGCGATGGTGATGACAGTGAAGAAGGTGAGGGACGTGCGGGCCGCTTTATACGAATCCATGCGTGGCGGGGTATACATTCGCACGAGCTTGAAGAGGAAGTAGGCGAGGCCACCGTGGAAGAGGAGCTGGTAAAAGGGAGAAAAGAGAATTGTTAGTTAATTGAGGGGCAGATAAGGTGGGATCGGAATAATTGATGCAGGATGATGGTGGGTCCTTACTATTGTAACAATCATCCCCAATGTATTCTCACGACGGGTGGACCAGGCAGCGCCTAGGAGAATAAGGATGGTGACAGGGATGGCAATAATGGTGAGGATATACTCGGTGGCTTTCTTGTCGGTGACAATGACGACGAACTGGACGGTGAAACCTAAGAAAAAGAAGAAGTCGAATTTCAAGAGCGCAATATAAATCTATACATATAGAAAGAGATGAATTAGCATCCTAGTAAACCTATTAATGGGGGGAAAAATCAAGAGGAAGAAATGAGACGGCAACGTGACTCATCTCAACAAGCCCTACCTGGTATGTTAGGTATCGCCGCTTCATTCGCAAATCGGCGCTAATATGCTTATAAATGGTCCACGCAAATTCATCGTATAGTTTCCAGGCGATGAAACTCAGACACACAGTTCCCAGACCAATGATGATCGGAATAGCAATAAGGAACGGCTTCAAGTCGGGCCAGATTTGCTTGTCAATGTTTTTACCAGCGTTCAGCTGCAAGATAGCGTCTCGAATCTGGTCTGTTTGCACAGCGCCGTATATAAGCAGGCCGACGTTGCAAATACATATTCCAATGACTTGAATGGTGTTTTTCATTTGAAGCGCATCGTAGGTCAAAACAAGCTCGTACACAAAACCGAAGATGTAGAGAGTTAAGAAAGTCGGGATCGTTCTCGACGTAGCTGTGTTGCTCCAATTGCCTCTGAGTTCGGACTGGAAGCGTGCAAAGACGTACCTATGATTTGAAGATGAGTGAAAATGAAATCGAATTAAAAACAAATTATACATGTCGCTTTGACGTCAGAAAAAAAAAAAAAAAAAAAAAAAAAAAGGTCAGCCAAGTGGAGAAAATAACTTACGACTCAAAACCAAGAATAATAGCAGCCTGGACGCAAGCAACAATGACGAACGACCACGTCCAGCGCGAGTTTGGCCGATACATCTTTGACTCTGGTTCTGTAAAGTTGATATAACCTTCTCTTGCACGGAAACCTGTTGTAGAATTACGGTTCGAGGAGTCGAAGGGCCGTCCTCCCAGGAAAGAGGCCCGCGACGGGTTGGAAGGAATTTTGACGGTTCGCTCCCGGATGGAGCCCGACGCCTCTTAACTATATGGATCGAGGGAGGGGAGGGAGGGAGGGGTGGGAGCAGGGTGGTTGGAGTAGCGAAAAAAAAGGTGTTCGAGATAGGTTTGGTTGGATGGTGTTGGGAGGCTGTACTACACAGCCGCGCAGACAGGAGCGAACGGCGACGATAATTAGATCAAATTGTCGAGCAGAAAGGGAATGTGACGGTATCAATTGGGAGATCCAGGATTGTCCAACGGTTGTTGCAACGGGGATTGCAACGGGGATTACAACAAAGACCTCCGTTTCCTGCGTAAGGGGCCTTCCAACAACCACAACAACAAGCAGCAGGAAAACAAGAGAGTGAGGAACAGGGGACAGATGGAGATAGGGAGGGAGAGGGAGAGGAGAGAGATGGGGAGAGAGATGCGGAGAGAGAAAGGATGAAAGAGGGAGAAGGAGACAAAGTTTGGGGTAAAAGTTTCACTCGGGCAGGAGGGATACCTGGAAGCAAATCTGAAACGCGGTATGAAAGGCCAGCGGGGAGATGCTGTAACCCCGGCGAACTGGGACGATGGTTGGACAGGACGAGATTTTGAAATAGCAAGGGAGTACTAGAAGAAAAAGCAAACAAATCAACGAGTGCAGACTGAGAGCGCAGAGGAACAAATCTACAGCGGAAGAACAGTTGTTGTGCTCTGCAGTGGAGTGGACAAACAGCACCAGCAGCAGCAGCAAACGGAGGTAGCGAGCGGCTGACACACGCTCAGCGGCAGACCTGGAGGTGCGGCAGAGCTTAGGGGCGGGCCCGAAAGAGCCCCGGGACCAACTCCCCGCTCACATTGAGCTGCTCAACGGCTTGGGGGTTTGAGGGCACTCTGGTTCCTTGACTACGCCATCTGCTGAAGGGTTAGTTACCTTATGATTAGCAGTAGTAACTCGTCGAAGTGGGAGAGCTGAGCAACGGAACTGTGCAGTGGAATCGGGGGCCAATTTTCTTCTATCTCTGCATAGTCGCTGCTGAGGCAGTTCTTCTTGCCAGCCCAAAATTCAAGTTCGCAAGGCTGACTCGGATAAATACTATTAAAGCTACCACCAGATCTACCCCGTTTCCCGCTCTCTCTTCTCCCCAGCTGGCCAAATAAAGTATCCTGCCTCATATGCACAGGAACCAACAGTGACAGTGATGGCAAACAGGATTTGTCGTGATGCGAGTGGTCTGCCACACTGACAACCCAACATCCCACATGGTCCCACGGCGTTGTCTATTTTTAACCTGCGTCAACCTGCTCCACTTCCGTTCAAGGCTGAGGCAGTGTGAGGCTCTCAAGAACCTTGAATTAAAGGTTCTCTACGCAGTATTTTCATCAGCTTGTTCAATGCATGAAAACTGCAGTGTCTTGTACATGTATGTACATGATGATTGCTAAATCCAATTAGTACCAGGCAACTAGGTACTGGGAGGGATATCGCACCGTGCAGGTGCGCTCTGTTACACCCACAGGCACAGGCTGTCTGTCCCACACCCATTGACTTGAAACTTGTTTCAACCTATCAATAACAGCTCAGGAGTATAACAATCTCTCTCGTTTTCTAAGCGATAGTTATATATATATCTTCCTTTTTTGGGAAGATTTTCATACAAGATGACTCATTTAGAACAGAAAATTATGTACTAACTACTAGTATTCATCTGGTTATATTGAACATTCATTGAATCAGCATATAGCCGTTATGTTTGAAGCCTCCATCTCTTGAGCTGCATTCTATTGCTAGAACAGAATCTTTGAGAATGCGCATATATTGGGATATTATAATACGCAATATGTTGTAGTTGTTCATTCGAGATGCTTGCGAGTCTAGAAATCTTGATGACTTGAAGTTGATGAGTAATCCAGTTCAAACCAGCTAAAGCGGTGTACGGGGGCAGAATTATCCTAGCGCCTCTTTCCCACACAGTCACGAACAAAAACTCATTCTGTTATCTTCCTCTCTTCTTCTTCTTCTTCTTCTTTTCTGCTTCAAGCGTCGTCCTCGCCAAAGCTGCGTTTCTTTGCTACACACGTCAGATCCATCTCTCCTCTCCCCTCTGCAAAGAGAAGGGGAGGGATTAGCCATCTGTCCTTGATTGATCCCCAATCATGAAAATATGCAAATGAGAAATTCGGAGTAATCTTCAAACCCCACAACCCGCTCAGCGCTCAGAGAGAGAGAGAAAGAGAGAGAGCGTTGAGTCGGTGCTGCCCGTGAGGGCCCGGCGTGAAACCTATTAACACGTCCGCAATCAGGCATCAGAAACTTCGGAGGGAGGGGACCCGGGGTCGTGCGGAGACTTTGTTTCCCACTTCCCTCCCCCCTTCCCCTCCCTGGGAGAGCCGTTGCGAAGATTGTGTGTACATCCCTCCATCCCTTTTCCCCCTTACTTCTCTATCCCTTTGGAGGGTTGGGTGAGTTAAGGAGGGGGTTGTATGACACTTTAGTGCAATACGCAGCGTACTGGGTTCCTCTCTCTTCTTTCTAGAATGAGATGCGGTCTGGTATGAATTCGATTCCGATTACTCTGGCGGGGACGACGCTTCAATCCTCTACTTTTTTAAGGTTCGTTGTAAAAATCAAAAGTTTGAGAGCGACGGGGAGCGCAGGGGGGTTTTTTCCCCCTTCGTTTCTTTTTGAAGGGATACTGCTAATTCGTATCGAGATGTTTTTGGGTTTAGCACGGAACTGGCTCGAATGCCCTCCACACACGCCACCCCCCGCACTTTTCACGACTTTACGAGTTGTTAAGGTTGTCGTTCTTTCAGCGGGGCGTGCTCTGGCTGTCAGTGGTCGGGAGTGCGCAAATGGCGCACCACCATGGAATGGTTTTCCTTTTGTTCTTTCATATTTTAACAAGATATCTTCATTCGAGATTCAGAGAACGATGTCACGTTTGGCTGCAATTGGCCGGCTGATCAAGCCGCTGTATCTGGGAAAGTTTAATGGCTTTGGGCCAACGCCATCTGAAGTGTCAGGCCGTAAGTATTGGCCACCCTCACCACAATCATGGTGCCTTTTGGTATCAGAAATGTAGTTGGGGTTGCCAATACTTAACGCCTCGTACAGTAGCTATCCGAATCCTCGATTTTTAGTAATTATAAAATCCTCATAACTAAATATCCTTCACCTCTCCATCGTTTTTGACTTCGGTAGCAAGGGAGGCGGGCTGAATCCAAAAATGTCGCCTAGCTGCTTCGCTAGCAGGGGATCAAAGCCTCGCCTTATCATCAACAACATTACATTCCTTTCTCGCGCGGCTTTATCCAGCCAACCGTGCATCTCTTAAAGTTTGCCGGACAGTCAACGACAGCGCGCATTGAATCTCCACAGGATTCCGAAACACCCTCATTTTCAACCTCCTGGCTCAGTTGCCTACTCCATAATATAACCATGAATTCCGTGTAAAAACCTCTCCTCTGTCCATGCTTCTCTCATTCCCAGTGGTCGACCTTTTGCCGGAGTTTATGATTTTGATGCCGTCGTAGGTCCCTCTAGTTTTGACCTCCCACCTCTTATTCTCGTGATCCCGGGCTACGGCATCGGGCTACGGTACCGGGCTACGGTACCGGGATACGATAAGTTATAAAAGAGAGAGCCCTGTTCACCATGGAAGTGAAGGTGCGGAAGAGGGGTGCACACAAAAAATCCCGCTGGGGATGCACCAGCTGTAAGAGGAGAAGGGTCAAGGTACGGCAAATAGCCAAGAACCAGCACCTGCATCGAGGTGTTCAGTGAGACGCTTGGCTTCATGGCAGCTGGGTGATCAATCCTCCAGACCGTGCTGACTCGGATTTCCGATAGTGCAACGAGCAGAAGCCCATATGCACAAACTGTCGCATCCGAAATCTCCAATGTGTTTATCCATCTACTCACACTGCGGTGGTAGAAGCGCACAATGCCACACCTCGGGGAAGGGCCATTCTTCGACATGAAATCTCATCTGCCAGTTCCCAAAGCCAAAGACCGCCGATAACCCCATCCCCATCGCCCCCCTCATCATCAAAACGGGCGTCCAACAGCTCAACGGCCTTGCAAGCTCTGGTCCGGCCGGTCTCGCCCAGCGCATCTTCAGGAATCTCAAACCCTTCTCCTCTGACCTTTTCAAGCACGCCCACGTCAAACAGAACCTTAGAACTCGAACTCCTTCACCGCTGGTTGACGAAAACATGGCAATGTGTCTGCACTTCTCCCGCCTGCAGTTTTCTTTTAACAAATGTCGTTCCCCGTATTTGCATGAAGACCAACTATCTCCTAAACAATGTTTTTGCTCTCGCCGCCATCGACCTAGCAAAGCAGGTATCGGACCCCAACAATAAATCTCTAATACTAACCAAGGATGGATACCGATACCAATCCGCAGCACTTGAGTATTCAAACAAAGCCAATGCTGCTTTCCGCCAGGCCCTTGATGAAGTAGATGCCAATATCACTCCAAAGAAACTGTCTGCTCTCTTGTTTTTCGCCTCCTTTACCTTCGTGCTCAATCTCACGTTCCCCAACCCAAAGTACCAGATCTGCATTCTCGAAACCCTGGGCACGTCCATGGCGTTATACGTGGGCTCCTTCGTTGTCAACCGCCCAAACCTCGACTGGCTTAACCGGTCCTCTTGTTCTCTCGCTGGTGCTGTGAAACGCCTTCCCTCACTTCCGCCGGAGCTAATGCATAAACTCGACATCGACACCCAGCTGGCCATTGCGCGCTTGGAGTTTCTCATCAAGCGAATGCGCGTGCCAGTAAGGCTACCAGAAGATATGATAGAGGTGAGTATCGATGGCGATGGTGATGGTGATAGTGGTGATAATATCCGCCAGATAAACAGCACGGACTGCTATGACAACTACAGCAGCAGTAACAGCAATGTGCGAGTCGCATGCGAAATACCTGCCTACAAACGTGCCGTTGACCAGATAAAATATACATTCATGGACGACGCGACCAATGGGAAGTTCAAGGGAATGTTCTATACTATCCTCGCTGTCGGTGGCCGGGAGCTGGCTGCGGCTTTCCAGGGCCGCGAGCCTCTGGCGCTGTTCGTCATGATGTTCTGGGCCGTGCTGGTTCATCGGTCGCGGAAAAGCATTCCGATGTGGTGGATTGGGGATATTGGAAAGGACATTGTGGATGAGATTTCTGAGGTGCTAGATACGTCGCCGCTTGTGCGGTTTGATGGGGTCGGCGAGACC